ATAACATTTCTGTCATTCTTTGCCATTATTCAAAGTTAAAGATTAATTTTTAAAAGGACAATCATGAATTAATTTTTTACTTTTAATTTGATTTTAAATTTTTCTTGACTTTTACACTGAATATATACCTATATACATGACATATACTCGATACATTCCAAATATTTGTATGGGAAATGCAATTTTTTTTATTAAAATGTTTTTTTTACAAAAACAAATTTAAGCAAAGGAGAGCAATTATCTTATCACTAAATGTGAATAAATATAAATCTCTATATTTTTTTTAAACATAAAAAAAATCAGAACTATAGGGAAGGGACGTGCTGATATATACCCGCACAGGTGCACATTGTCCCTGAATAACTTTAGAAGATGCCAGGACCTGAAACACTTTCTGAACTAAAATACATCTAGTCACTCAAACTCACATGCCAAACAAAATATAAACAGTACAAAAAGTGTCAGCCAAAAAAAACTACAGCACTGCGTCCAATCGCTGGAAAAGCTTTATCGTTGTCTTCATCTTTAATTACAGTTTGCGAATGCCTCCGTATATTTGGATGGCAATGCTTTACACAGGCAACATCACTTTAATGGGAATTTATGGGAAAATCTTTGCCTGCGCCTCAACAGCTAAATATGACAGAAATAACTAAAAAAAGAATATACTAAACCAAGAACTGCTTGAAGCTCATTCAATATTTTTTTGTTCTAGTCTAAGAACGGCCTTCCAAATTTCTATACCATGACCTGGTTCTGAAAACAGAATATTATTTCTTGTGGCAGCTCCTTTGTGAAATCTAAAATAAAATGGCCATCCCTAAACTCTTACAAATGTCCCTAGCAGAATGTGCATTTTAAAAGTCACATTTTTTAAATACAAAACGTGAACCTGATGCAATAGCGGGAAATAGGCACTATTTCTGTGATCTTAAAAAAAACAACCTGCTCTTATCATATACAATTAATAATTTCCTTGGGTTATTTACTAATCAGGATGGCATAACTAACTGAAAATACAGAGGAAACATATTATGGATAGATAGAAATAAAAAAAATAGAGAAAATAAATAATACAGATTACAAAATAAAAATAAAAGAAAATTGTGTTGCTGAAAAAGGATAAAGCAATGCACGTGTTATTTCACAATTTAAAAAAATGAAAAAGGCTCTGATTTGTAATATTGTGAAAGCAGTACGAGTGCCTGCTTTATGTGTTAATGTGTTAGATGACTTTGTTATTTCATTTATAATTGCTTGCTTGTTTTGTTTGTTTTTTGTCAGCCTGCAGAACTAAATATTATTGAAGTGCATGCATATGAAAGCTTTTCTGCTGGCTTGGTATAGTGCTCAGTAGGCTCAGATCACCAACTTTCCAGCGTACAAGAATGGGATCCCCAAAGCCAATGCAGAGGAAGGAATCATTCCAGGAGAGATTCATTCCTGAGCTGTAGAAGAGAAGGTGATACACAAATGTCAGCTTAGGACAGGGACATTCTCCTGCTGGAACCTGATTTCCAGGGACAGTCGCTAGTATTTGGAGAAAGCCCGGGGAACAGCCACCGCTTACTATAGAGGCAGAGCTCCGGGAAACTTTCATGTGAGCGCAGGGCAAGAACTTCCGAATCCCGGACAGACGCGTACCCCACCGAGCGCATGGAACGGTCCCCGGGCGCAGCGAGCATACTGGTCGGGTACCTACCATGTCAGGGAACGCGGGGGGAGGCGATACGTGCCCGGAATTCTCCCTCTCCCCCTTTAAAAGTGAAGTATAGTGAGACGGTATTAGTCTCCGCTATAAAGGTGTCACCTAGTCAGGCTACTACGGGACAGTCATTTCCATATGGAAGTTGTCGAGTGAAGCTCTCCTAAATTCTTGTCACCTGCGGGGAATACTGCCTGGTGAATGTGCCCCCCGCTTGTCCCTAGCCGACCAGGAATCCCCCCCACATAACACAAACACACACACGGTATACCTGAGTCAGGCAGATAGGAGAATACATCATGGCTTGGCTTTGCTCGGCTCCCCAGTACAGTATCCAAGGGGAGAGATTTCACCTATTCATTGTCCGCTGAATAGGAGTAGACGGCAGATGAAGTCCGATGGAGGTCCCGCTAGTGCCCCCCTGCCATAGCAGAGCAGTGTGCGCCCGATCCGATGGAGGCAGCCCGAGCTCGCTCTCTGTTCTATCGATGATGATGATGATGATGGGATGTATTAGCTATCGCTCCCAATAAGCATGTCCTGCACACTCCAGCTCTCCTCTCTCTCACTCCCTCTCTTCCGCTCACTCAAACTTGCACCGGTTACACCCTCTGCACCGTTTCAGCTTTCCAAATCAGACTTAAGGATTTCGCATTTTTTTTATTATTATTATTATTATTTAATTACACAATCAAGGAGACACACTCCTCCCCCTGGTGCGCTGTGTGTTTCTCTCCTATATGTCCCCCCGCCCCTTCACATGCCCACGGCTTGCAGGGTACCGGCGCCCTGCCGGGAGAGGAGGGGTTAATGATGAGGAGGAGGAGGAAGGCTGCCCAAGCTGCTCTTCCTCTCATTCCTCACATCGTCCTGTAACAGAATGTAATGTGCAGCACCTAGGATGGCACCGTGGCATGCTGAATGTAATGTGCTGCACAAGGAAGGCACTGTGGCATGCTGAATGTAATGTGCTGCCCGAGGATGGCACCGTGGCATGCTGAATGTAATGTGCTGCACCTAGGATGGCACTGTGGCATGCTGAATATAATGTGCTGCCCTAGGATGGCACCGTGGCATGCTGAATGTAATTTGCTGCACTTAGGATGGCACTGTGGCATGCTAAATGCAATGTGCTGCACCCAGGACTGCACTGTGGCATGCTAAATGCAATGTGCTGCACCCAGGATGGCCTTATGGCACGTTGATTGTAATGTGCTGCAGCTAGGATGGCACTACAGCATGCTAATTGCTGAATACAATATAATGTGGGAAGCTGAATGCAATATAATATGGTGCACCCAGGTTGGCACTATGGGAAGCTGAATGCAATATAATATGGTGCACCCAGGCTGGCACTGTGGGAAGCTGTATGCAATATAATGTGCTGCTCCTTGGCTGGCACTGTGGGAAGCTGAATGCAATATAATATGGTGCACTCAGGCTGGCACTGTGGGAAGCTGTATGCAATATAATGTGCTGCACCCTGGCTGGCACTGTGGGAAGCTGAATGCAATATAATATGGTGCGCCCAGGCTAGCACTGTGGGAAGCTGAATGCAATATAATGTGCTGCACCCTGGCTGGCACTGTGGGAAGCTGAATGCAATATAATATGGTGCACCCAGGCTGGCACTGTGGGAAGCTGAATGCAATATAATATGGTGCGCCCAGGCTAGCACTGTGGGAAGCTGAATGCAATATAATATGGTGCCCCCAGGCTGGCACTGTGGGAAGCTGAATGCAATATAATATGGTGCCCCCAGGCTGGCACTGTGGGAAGCTGAATGCAATATAATATGGTGCGCCCAGGCTAGCACTGTGGGAAGCAGAATGCAATATAATATAGTGCACCTTGGCTGGCAGTGGAACTAAGTTTGTACAGTGCACACTAATGAAGTGTCTCTTCTTCCTATCTTGCCAGCCTGGACAGACACATATAACTCCCCCAGGTCCATTATTTGCATTGGAATGTGATGTACTGCACACCATGTACTCCTACGAATGAGGTCTGACACAACTCTATATATCTGTGCCCCAGCAAAGCAGCAGCTTGAGCCCTCTTACAGGGCACCCATGCAGCCTCTTCCCTGCCTGCTCTCATGCAGTGTGCCAGGAGAAGGTCAGAGAGGCAGATTACTTTTTGTGAGAGCGGTTGAGGAGTTGTGTGGGGAAGAAGCGTGCCTTTTATACGCCCTGCGCCTCACCTCAGCCTCTCCCGCCCCCTGCCCTCCCTCTCTGCGGTTATCTCGGGTGAGGGAGGCCGGGTGTGGCTGAAGCTCACTTTCTTAACCGTTTGGGTACCTCAGGAATAAAATAAAATGCCTGTTAAAACAAGTACACGGCGACGTTTCACAAACCAAAGCTGTGACTTTTGTGAAAGGAATCTGACATATGGGAGGCCCAGAAGTCTACATCTGTCATTATAAATGGCTTGTCAGTCTGGAAATATAGTTATTATTATTGATTTATATCTCTGCTCTGTACCAAGTCAGGTCACGCAGGAGCCAGGCCACTAACACGACGAGATGCCAGCTTACCATCTACAAGGAACACGGAAATGCTGAACGACCAGCATCCTGATGACACAAAAGTGCCATGGGGGCGATACCTTTTAATGGCGGAAGAATCCAAATATCAGGCCCTATCACACTTTTATTAAAGTAATACTGAAGCCTCAGCCTTTTCCATACAAATACTGAACAAGTGATGATTATACAATCACACGAATCATTCACATTTCATTCAATTTCCTGGTGCACCTTCCTGCTCCCTCTGTGTGGCTTCCCTAAACTTCCAGCCACTCTGAATTATTATTATTATTATTACATAGTATTTATATAGCGCCAACAGTTTGCGCAGCGCTTTACAATATAAGGATATAAACAAGTGTCTCCTCATTGATCTCTTCGGGACTAAATGTCCCATCATTCCCAGTGCCTTCGTATGACGTCCCTCTACCTCAGGTGTGGACAACGCCGGCCCTCCAGCTATTGTGGAACTACAAGTCCCATGAAGCATTGCAACACTCTGTCAGCCACAGGCATGACTTCCAGAGACAGATGCATGATGGTATTTTTAGTTGCTCCACAGCTGGAGGCCCGGAGTTGTCCGCCCGTGCTCTACCTATTCCTCTGGACTGCTTGTGCGTGTACAGTGCATGTGTTTTATGAGCGCACACATAATAAGGGTGGCTCCGGCAGAGCTCCATAGGACCCAGCAGGCCAAGGAGTTACCCTTACAAACAGAAGAAGAATAAAATGCAGAATAAGCTCCTCTATAGCTAATATAGAAAAAAATAGCCACTGTAACCCATGCCACACGATACCAAAAGCCTGGCCTTTACACCTTCATAGTGCTTAAAATATACCACATCCATGGCATTTTGTTTTTATTTTAGCCCAGTCATGGCACATTTGTTTGTTATATACTGGCTAGCACACTACCAACACTGCTCTGTGTACATTCTGTAAACGCCAAATCTTTTAGGCACCAAAACGGTTAAGTGCGAAGCGGCATGGGACACATAACGCATTTTGGAGGCTGGAAGTAACTTCTTTTTTTCCCACTCTCACATACACTTAAGAGCTGACAAGGGAACAGTATAACATTCCTGTCAAGTCACACTCATTTGGAGTAAGTCCCACTCCCGTCTCCCGGCATCAGTGCCCTCTTTAGGGCTGCAAGCAGTCTTGCTCTTTGCAATCATAGTGAAGAGTGCACACATATTGTTGTATTTGACTTCCCCCCCTCTTTAGCAAAATGCCGCGGAGAAATTGTTAGCATCATTTATATCAAACAATGCCAACATGCTATGAAACATGAGGCACCACTCTGAACGTACCATTACAATAACACATGAATATACAATGAAGCAGAAAATAGAAGACTTTTGGTTCCACCTATTACAATACCAAATGTAATGATGTATTTAGTCACCATATTCCTACCACATAGATTCCTGGACAGGGCCTGGAGTAAGATCGGGTTGGTTAGTATGAGATAAGAAAATATGTCGCCAGCAAACCAAAGATCGACATAATAAAAATTATTTATTGTAGTGATTACAAACAGTGTCAACGCAATGCTTTCAGGCCACATAGGAGCTCTTCGTCAGGCATGTGATGGTGTTTCTGACGTGGAATCGAAACGTTGCATTAACACTGTGATCGCTACAATAAAATGTGTGGACTGTTAATCAATGGCGTGCTGGTGATGTGACTCTATGGCTAACAAATTAGCTAAAAAATGTGAAACAAATTTGCTAAAAAGGTGCCAAAAATTAGTTTAAAAATTGCTAATGAATTGCTAAAAAAAAAGCGAAAAATAGCGAAAAAAATTGCTACAATTTAAATTTAAAAAATGTTCAGCCTCCTCAGGTTATATGTCAGCAAAATATGTCACAGGTCCTGCAAAAAGCTCTTCATACAAAGCATCAAATATCTTCCTCATTCCTAATCAATAAAGACAGCGCAAAGAACAAAGCTAATGTGCAAAACGCGATGAAAACACTTGTGTGTGTGTGTGAAATGCGTCAGAGTGTCATGAGTGTGCATTTCTTAGGTTGTGCTTTAAGAAAATAATAAAGAAAGTGTTCGGAAATAGCAGGTGTGGGGTCATCTGATTTACCTGTATACTGGTGACATATGCTTTTTAACACACAAGATGCACATTTGCATATGCTATGTCTAATTTTATATTCCCCCAATGAGGTATAAAAAGTTATTTCTAAATATTCTAAAACTACGGGACATCAATGGAGTCGCTCAAAGCAACATATCATATTCTGCCATTTTATTAGTGCTTAACATCAGATTGGTTGGTATAGGCAACACATCCATCGTCCTCAAATGGAACCTAACATTTCATAAAAGATTGTGGGTACATAATTCTTGCCAAGATTTCTACTTCTTTTACAGAAAGAAGAAATAATAACCTGTTTAATTATATCATGTATTTGTGGTTTTTGAGAGGTGGTATCCATAAGTGCCAATAATACACATTCTAAACAATAATTTAAAAAATAGCTAAACATTAGCTAAAAATTGCAAAACAAATTGCTAACAAATTAGCTGAAAATTGTAAAACAGATTGCTAAAAAAAATTACCAAAAAAATTAGCTCACAAATTAGCACAGGATTGTGAAACAAATTTGCTAAAAAGGTGCCAAAAATGAGTTTACAACTTGTGAAAAAAAAGTAGTTAAAAAATTTCTAAAAAAGCTAAAAAAATGTGAAAGAATTTTATAAAATTTAAAAAATGTTCCTACAGCGCAGCCTCCTCGGGCTGTATGCCAGCAAAATATGTCACAGGTGTTGCAAAAAGCTCTACATACAAAGCATCAAATTGCTTCCTCATTCCTAATCAATAAAGACAGCGCAAAGAACAACGCTAATGTGCAAAACGCGACGAAAACTCGGTCTCTTTTTAATACGCCGTTGGCTCGAGCAGCACAAGGATAACAGCTGATTGGAAGCACAAGCTTCTTTGGACAGGTCTAAATTGTGTGTGTTATGTTCTGCCAAGAAGCGTTCCATGGCTGGGTTGTAAATATATAAGAGCCAGCAAGAGGAATGCTGGTTTGCGTGAATGAAAGCGCGGAAATTTTCGATTCACACAAGAGCGTTCCAGCTGGTGTGAAGCAAACAGGGGACTGAAGAATGGCAGCCACAAAAAAATATCCAAATATAAATAAAGAAAAAAAAATAC